CCTACACTACACCAATAAGAGTCCTTGGGTAAGATTCCTAACACTACCTTTGCCTACCTGTGTAAAACGATGAATTGTAAGTTGCTCTGGATAAGAGTGTCTGTCAAATGCCATAAATGTAATGTAAAAGGTCACAGTGTTAGGATAGTTTCAGAATTTCATTTTTCTTGTCATGTAAATGAGTTAACATCAGCATGGCAGCAAATTCTACATATTTGTCATTGTTTCTAACCTGCCTACAGGGCTGAGGAAAACACTGAAAAAGTAGCGATGGCTGAATACTGAATACTCCATCCAAAATGTATTCAGTTATATATTCCGTCACAATATATGTTTCAACTGAAATAGTCATGAAGCATAGCTCCATTGCAATACATTACAGTGGTTACATGGCCTGACAGCGGAAACATGACCAGGTAGAGGACAACACTAGTTAAATGGGGCCACAGCACTACTGGGCCATGTAGTCTGGTTATGAATGGCCACAGTGTGTTTGTATTCACTGCAGTTTTACTAATGGAGGCTGAATCACAGAGCAGGAGGAGGCTAGTCTTTCTTTTTCAGATTTATCTGCTCTTAAAGCACTATTTCACATAAACATGAGCACTGAGTGACTCTCTATCATTCGCATGTAACAATAATAATAACAAACCTTTTCTTTATAGCACTTTTGCTTATGTGTGCTCAGTTTTCTGTGAGGAACGTCAGAGCACAAGGAAAATGTCCTCTGTGTTTGAAGGTATCATTTGCCACACGACCTTTTGTGGCTGCCAAATATTAGGCGGGATAAAGGATGTGTCTTTGTTTTGGTTGACAGCGAGTCCTTGGCCCAGACCCCATAGCTTATTTGGTTATGCTGCTGTAGAAGTGTACAGTCCTGATGAAGGAGATGATGCTGATGAAGAACATCAGCAGAAAGCAAACCACAGCATTCCTGAGAACACAGAGTTGAAGTAGAGACAGTGATGACAAACTCCTAATTTACGCTGGAGTTATTTCAGGTCTTATCTTTAATGATTACCCTCCGTGTACTAAAGAGCAGGGTTTAAAAGGGGTGTGCATCCGTGCATACAGATGTTCAGATGTCTCCCAGGCATCTGTGCCATTCTTTATTACACCAAATTGCTATAAAGCTTTAACATAAGCAATGTAAAGAATTTTGGGCCACAGCTGCAAAAAGAACGAGGTGCTGGATGAGATCTCGGATCAGATTCATGAAAGCTTTTCTAAGAAAAAAAACTACAGAGAATCTTAAAATAAACATTAAAGTTCATAAGAATGTTCTTAAATGCAATTCCTGAAAAAAAGAAATTCAGAAATGTGCTTTTAAAAAAGTCCTAATAATTGAATGCATTCTTATGTATAGGTTATTTGTCTTGAAGCCTGTTGATAGTATGTTATATCTGAAAGCTGGCCACAAATGACAAAACACATTTAAATTAGCCATTTTTTCTGTTAACTAGTAATCAATAATACATAATGTAAATTTTATAGGCTAATTTATGACCATCTTTCTTAGCTATATATTAGATAAATATTGCTGCTGTAACAGTCGTACACAGTCTTCCCCTTATCTCAAATGTAGTTGAGTGTCCAAGACACGCTTGATGTCCAAGGTTTGTTTCGGAAGCATGGGTGCCAACTTGGGTTACATATATGGAATTTTGAATTAATGTCCTAATCTGATTAGAGACATTTAATTTGGGGGAAGGACACCGAAGTAATAGCAGGAATCATGGATGCAAAATCATTAATTGCATATATATATATATATATATATATATATATATATATAATGATAACACGTTTGTGATAAAGTATATGATGTCAATTCATACTGTTGTCATCTCATAATATTATGAGCACATTGCATTCCAGGGGAATGGTATGTGATCTGCTCACCATGTCAATTTATATCATTGTTAAATGGAAAGATGTTTCATTTAAAGCACTACCTCAGTGTGGCAAGAACGTTTATATGAGTTTATATGCAAAGATGAAGCGGCTGCTGGTTGGGTTTCTTATCGATTTACCAGGCAAACAAATGAAAGTGCTGTGGAGATTAGCATTTACCCTCATCTAATGCTCTGAATTCAGTTCATGAAGGCCTTGCTAATTAGCTGACATGCTGAATCAGGTGTGTTTAATGAGGCAGACTGCTAAGGTCTGCAGAGTTTTGGCCCACCAGGACTGGAGCTTGACACGTGATTTAAACTGTGTCCAAATGTTTGTTAATGCCTAGCAATTGAAACTAGCAGGATTTATTGGGAAAACCGAAAAATCTGGCAACCCTACGAGATGGAGACAGAACCCATGCGCATGTGGAAAACAGCACAGTGTTTTGGTTGCTATAGTGACCCTGCAGCCTAAGATCTCTACTGTTAAATGCAGTTTTACTACAACAGCTGTTTTCAGACTGTCCTATGCAGGATCACTACCATGGCTTTTCTTTAGATTTACGCTAAGATTGGGAGTCACTGATTTAGGGTTGGGGAGGTGAACAACCCAATGCCCCCACGCCAAGCCATCCCCTCCTTATTGGCACCTATGACTGGGCTAATGCTGCTACCAAGTAATGACTTCAGCCTACTCAGCTTGAGTGCAAATCTTAAGAAACTAACAAGTAATGGAGGCAATAAGGAAGCAAGCACAAACATGTATTGACCAACTGAGTACATTTGGGCCAAGGGGAACGCTGTGTAAATTAGTTTTTTTTTTTTTCATTATTTGTTTTTTTGATGAGCTGTTCCTTCAACCACCTGCTCAGCTGCTTTTGCCATAAAGTTTCTAGCCTGAATTGGATGTTTACATGTGTTTCTGTGTTATGTACTAAAAGCTGAGGCTGTGATCTGTAATGAGGTGTAGAGTGGATTTATACTGACTGTGCACTTTCAGCAGATAGGCTGGATGCTTCAGAGATTATGGTTCATCAATAACAAACACATTCAGTTTTAAAAGCCTGGACACTGTGGCTGTGTTTTATGCTCTGTAAATGTAGTTACAGATGGTCAGGTTTGCCTACTATGTAGTGCGCCAAGCTAAATGTGTACATTGTGTAGCATATGCTGACCATTGCTTATGGTTGTCTGTAGTGCTTGGCAATTCTCGCAGCACAGCAGGGCCACCTATAGCTCAGATTGAATGCAGTTGTTATATAACTGCTTGTCTAATGCTGTTCTTTCCAGACACCTTTTAAAGGCTTTCCTGTGTTTATTTGCAACAAAGGACAAGGGACATACTGTCCTCAGAGGACTCTGTCTCTCTGTCTCTCTCTCTCTCTCTCTCTCTCTCTCTCTCTCTCTCAAAGTTGTACACAAATGCACATGCACACACTCTTTGAACAATGGATCTTAAAGACTTGCTGTGGAATGCCTCTGCTTTGGGCAGAAGATCAGAATTTGTCTGGAATGTGGCGGAAAAAGTCCGGTGTTTTGGTCAAGGCCATAACGACTGGTCTGCTGAGAGGGTCTGACAAGTGTGTGTGAGGGCATTGTGACACAGAAAGGAAGTATTGAACAAAACAACAGGGACAAAACAGTGTTTCAGAAACTATTGATGCATAGTAATATCGAAATCATTTTGGAATTAGCAGATATTTGCTTGAAAAAAAATTGACATCAGACAGACATTTAGATTTGATTAATATTTCAAACCTACATTTGATGACATATTTATAGTAATCTGAAAAAGCAGAGCATTTAAGCTATGCAAAGTTTCTGTGCTAAAATGTCTGCATTTTATTCATTTAACTGTATTTGTAACCCTGTAGAAAGAAATGTTCAGCATTAGTATTACACTATATGGCCAAAAGTATATGGACAGCAGACCATTACACCTATATGAGCTTGTTCGACATCCCATTCCAAAATAATAGACAACAATATGGAGGTGCCCCCGTTTGTGACTAAGCCTTCACTCTTCTGAGAAGCTTTTTCCACAAGATTGTCTGTGGACATTTGTGTCCATTCTGTCAAAAGAACATTTGTGAGGTCAGGTACTGATGTTGGATAAGACAGCCTGGCTCGCATTTGGCATTCCAGTTCATAACAAAGGTGTTCAGTGGTGTTGAGGTCAGGGCTCTGAGCAGATCACAGGAGGTCCTCCACATTAAAGTCCTCAAACCATGTCAGACCATTATCCCTCCTCAACCAAACTTCACAGTTGGCACTATGCACTCTGGTTGGTAGCTTTCTCCAGGGATACGCCAAATCCAGATAAATCCATCACTACAAGACAGTAAAGTGCGATTCATTACTCCAGAAAACACATTTCCGCTGCTCCAGAGTCCAGCGGCAGCATGCTTTACACCATTCCAGCCAACATTTGTCATTGCGCCTATTGATCGTAGGCTTGTGTGCAGCTGCTCAGCCATGGAAACCCGTTTCTTGAGGCATCCGACACACAGTTCTTGTGCTAATGTTGCTTCCAGAGGCAGTTATTATAACATGCTAAATACTTTAGCACTCAGTGGCCCCACTCTGTGAGTTCACATGGTCTACTGCAATACCCTGCAATACAATTCAATACAATATGATATGTGTTATATTTTAGAGTCCACTGTAGACCTGAATTTTCCTCACTTTTTTGGAATAAAACATACTTTTCACTCCCCAGTCCATGTGTAAACTAAGCTGCAAGAACAGCCCATATTAAATTTATTGTTTTTGCGACAGCACTGAAACCAACTCATTTACGTATATATAGCTATTCAGCCTACAGCACTTTAGTGCCACCCAGGCTAAGGTTATAAGGAATGTTTCTGTATAGACAGCTTTTCGAAAAAAATAATAAAATACAAGAAAAATGTAAAATATAGGCCCTTTAACTTTAAAAATGTATTAAATGCAATAAAGCAATAAACAATAACAATAAATCTAACACTGCTGATAATCAATGGTTGTTTCACCAGATAGCTACCTAACAGTTTGATCATCTCTATATAAACTATAGGGAACTCTCAAAGAAATTCAGAATCAGAAAAATCATAACTTTAAACCCACTTAACACTAGCCACAACACACTTTTTTAATATTTAAGATGGCATCCCAGTCAAAGTGCAAGCATAAAAAAAACTAAAACAAGGTTCCACTAAGTGCCCTGTTTACATTCAGTCTTACTGTGCGATCCTCATGAAAGAAACGATCCTTACATAGACAGATACATTCATTGTTGCAGGAATTAACTATAGTGCATGTATAATTTTTAGTAATCACACAACTTTGTGTGATATGTAATGCAAAGGAGGAGAGAGGTACAATGAGTTCTCAATGCGTGCACCAACAGCACTGCTATTTGTTGGTCAGATTGCCACACTGCATGGTCCAAGCTTAGCGTACTGTTGAAGAGTCTACTCTAGTGAGTTTATATTAGTTTATATGTCGGGATGAAAAGGCTGATGGTTGAGTTTCTGATTGAGTCACATTCTGTCCAGATGTTCGTTATTGCCCCTCTCAGATATGGCAATGCAAAAGCTGCTCGATGAAACTTTCAAAAATATAAAAATACAATACAAAATAATTCAGAAACTCAGAAAAGATCACATCCCATTCAGGAAAAAACTGAGGTCTGAACGGTCCTTGTGAACTTCTGATTTTACCCCAAAGTCAGAAATATGAGTCATAAACTTGGTCGAGTTTTGACGTATCACAAGCCAGTAGTTCCATTCTCAGATACCATGTGAACACAGTAAATAAGGCTGGCAAACAAAGTCCCAAGTTAAAGGGGCATTTTGGCCTAAAAGTAGCATTTAGCATGTTACTTGTCAAGTTATGTAACATTCTCAGCCTCATCAGTTCATGTCCTGTATTCTTTTTGTGTTTTTGTCCATCAGTGTTCTCTCATTACATTACCCAGCATGCTTTACACAAATACATCAATCATTGGAGATCCATGGTGTTCCTGGCTGCTAGCACAGGCACTGATGTAGAGGCTAGTTATTAAAGACATTCAGTGTCCTAGCAGTAACATTAACTGCTGCGCTTACTTCTGCATTATCCAGCTAGTGGCAGGAAAAAATCCATCTCAAATAACCCGTCCTCAAGTATGCGTTGTGGACCATATAACAAAGAGTTTGAACAGCAAACAGCAGTGTTCCTGCCTGGCTTCCACATCTTCCACGGCTTGGAAATGTCTTTTTTGCAGTGCGCAATGTCATTGTTCCATCTCCCTGTCTATATGTATTGTTTGTGTGATACATTTATCAGCTACCAAATGCAAGCCAGCCATAGTTACGACTCTCAACAAGTCAATGATAATTGTCTGAACACACCATTAGATTGCAGGCTGAGAGAGAGTCACATAGCCACGCGCACTTTGGTCTCCATCTCCTGCAACAACTGACTGGCTGTCTGTATTGCCCCCTGGTGGTGGAGCAGAGACTTGCACCCAGGCTGCAACATTTATCTCCATATTGGGCATCAAACAGTAGCCTGACCGGTTAGAAAAGAGCACCCCAGGCATCGCAGTGGGGTTAGGCGTGTATGCAGGGGGATCGTCCTTTGGGAGCTGTAACAGGCCAGGGTTTGTGCCCCCAGTGGCTGGATTATCCGACGAGGCGGAGTGTTCTGTGGAAGGCAGAGAGGTGGGAGGGGATGAAACGTATCCTCCATTTGCTGCAAGAGAGTCAGTGGCATTCTCATTGATAATGGATCTGCTGTCTTCTTCAAAAGTTGAGTTAGAGTAGAAGGACGTGTCCAACGTTTCACTTTGCGATGAAGAGTCTTGCTGGCACAGAATGTAAGGTCCAGTGAAGCTCATGGTAGACTTGACTGACATTCCACTTCCCTCTATGTAGGAGGATGTGTGGTCCAGTCCGTGCGTGCATTCTGATTTGGTCAGGTCGTCATCACTATATGGCAAAAGTGGGTATTCTGAGATACTGCAAAAAAAAAAAAGAAACATCTATTTTTTATATATGAAAATGATGCTAATAAGAATGCTAATGCAATATTTATGAACATTATTTCATAATAATCTTTTTCTGTGGGGCTGCAACAAGCATTTAATAAATAATGAATAAAATATGCATTGTTAATCTGTTTTAGAGCTCTTATCATTAGCAATGCTAAGTAGCCTAGCATGCTCTTGATTGCATTTATTTCCAAAAATAAATGAGAGCATGCAGGTTAGCTAGCTGTCCAGAACAGGAGGAAACTTTATCCACGTCTGACTTTAAGATCAACACCAGAAATCAGTTTCTGTGGCTTAAAAACTACCATACAAAATATGAAATATGGCTTCTCATCTGCTCATTAATAAGTTGACCAAGAAAGTTATGCTGAATTTTTAAGATGACAGCTAAAAAGAGGGTCTGCTCTCATGGACTACTTATTGCTAACAAGTTCAAATAGTAACAGCATCTGGACTAGCACTTTATGTTACTCTAAATCTTCATATCTATATTTTATGTCCCTAAATCATTGTGTATCGCTGATGATCGCAAATAAAAAAACAAAATACATGAATATAATTTATAAAATAGTACAAAATAAAAAGTCATAGTAATGAAACATTCATTTTATAAATTATATATATATTTTATGAAAAAAAGATTATGCTTGCAATTTTTTCTAATTATAAATAACTGTTCATCTAATTGTAAATTTATGTTTGTAAATAAAATAGATCACAAATGTAATCTAGAGCGTATAAACCTGTGTGTCATGCGTGCATCTGAAAATAAGTCAGATTTCGCAAGGAAGTTGAAATTAGGCCCAGCACTTCTTGTTCACTTGTTGCCCCCAATGTTCACAGGAAAGTCTGTGAGACCTTATTATAGACCTAGATGCAGTTTGAGAGAAGTTTTGGGTGACAGTTGAGCTCTAGGGTTTGTTATCAACATTAGCCTTGTAACTTGAGTCTCATAACTCCTGTGCTAAACTGAAGAAGCAAAATTTGGACACCAAAAATGGCTTGGCTGATTGACTTTATCTGTAGTAAGTGGAGAATTATGTACATTTTCATTTCTTTTCTATATTTCATAGCACAGAAACTCTATATTTCAAATATTTGAGATATTATTAGTATTAGAGTATTAAAAATATAAGAAGATGAAAATATCTGATAATTGCAGCCCTATTATAGTGTAAGTATTTTTTTTTTACCTCTGTGCTTCTGATGCACAAAACAGCAATAATGCTACATACAGCACAAAGTAAAGCACAGCTCTTGCAGCAATAGTTCTGATGACAATGATGAGGGTCTGACCTGCCCTTGCAGATGATTGGGTTATCTGAGGGTTGCATGATACACACAGAGGTTTTCTCCTTCTCACTGTAGAGATTGCCCCTGACAGCAGGAGAACTCTGTAAAGAGAGAAAGAAAGCAACATGGAATAAACTATCATGCTTTTTTTTTGTTATGTAGCTTTATTTATTCGTCAGGGGCAATGCACATTCATCAGTATTAGTAAAAATGCCAGTGGGCCAACTGGCTAATGCCTGACGCACAATATAGGATAACTGGGCTGATTTTGAGGTTGGTTTGCCCCTCCCTACAGTCACTAGATGAGCCCTGATTTTAGGCTGCTCTTAAACAACTATTTTTCTAGATTGTCCTGTGATGTGGGGTATATAGACGCCAATCTTAACACTTGGTGTTATCATCACAGTCTAGTCATGGCTACCCTCATTTTTTATTTTTTTTTTACTTTTTAAAAATAAAAATAACATTTATTAACATTGGGTTTATAGGTCACTCCCCATTCAAAGAGAAAGAAGCCTGGTTTTGTGTGTATAAAAGTGGGGAGTTGTAAGCAGGTTATGTAGCACAGAGGCTGTAATTAACTGAGGGACAACCATCCATCATTATATCTCTCACATTTTCAACATCAAATCTTCTAGTGTGGACCAGGCGTAAGTTTTAATGCAGTCCTTGAGGTTTGATGTTGCTCAGCATCTCTTTTTGCATTCAGTTCTGGCCACTGATGTTCAGTCAGGTCCTGGCCATTGAGATCAAGTTAATTTTATTTTTGAAACCAGCACTCACTCACCTTATTACTAATTTCCTCCAGGACTCTGCTCTTAATGGGAGAGGGAATAGACACCTTCCATAGCTCTAATCTCCTGTCAAACAACACACATTCAAACCCAGACTTATTTAGCATTCTTTTCCATGAACGCTCTGTCATGATAATTAACTTCTGGAAGGTAGTAGGAGTGAGAGATATGCTACTGAAACAGTTCTCAAACCTTTTGATCTAAGGCTGTGGATAGTAAGTGTCACTGCACCAAAATTACAAATTTAAAACTTACTATTAAGACATACAACTTGTAAGCTTTTTTCTGTGGCCATCTAGGGTATGACTAGAGTATGACCCCCCATAGTATGGCTAAATCCATATCACTAGATCAGTGGTTCTCAAACGGACCAGCGGATATGGATTTTGGTGTACTGTGGATGACGTGTTCAGGCCAAAAAAAGCAAACCACAAACAGGCTCACTGATAAGTGAATGAGTTGAAAGATGAAAACAAACAGGAGGAGAGGTTTTTGAAGAGAACAACTAAAAGCTGGTTCCATTAAAGGGACCTGAAGAATTATTGTTCTTCTACATCTTCTTTTTCTTTTTAGTATTATTATTATTATGGTAGTAATAATTTTATATGTTGTAATTTGTAAGTTTTTTATTTGTGTTGATGTTATTACTGTTAAAAAACAAATTCACATTTTGATGTAATATAATCTAAAATACTGTGATATAAATTGGATTCCATCCAATTTCAGATTTCACCCACCCCTAGTAGGTAGTGCATTGTGTGATTTACCTGTGGCAGGATGGAAGAGCCTTATACAGGACGATAAAAAACATGGCCACAAACAGAGCAGTCATGATGTAAATAATGGCTGCAATGGAGAAAGCTACACACACACACACACACACACACACACACAAACATAAGAACGTAAGAAGATTTACATCATAATGTCAACATCTTTGAAAGACATATTTCTTTCCAAAACATCAAATAGTTTTGAAATACTCTCATCTCTTTATATAAAAAAGCTTTTCATAAATGTAAGCAGCTCATAAAGCTGCAGGCACACCCCCTCACACACACACTCAAACACACACATAAATATTTAATTACATTCAGTTTTCTGCAATCTTTCTTTTTTCTCTTACACAACACAAATTACATTAACAGCAGTGACATGAGATGAAAACAGCTTCCTTAGTTCTATAGCAGTAAACCTTAAACTGCATCCGTCTCAGTAGTAAACACATTTGGTAAAGAGTAGAATCCAAAATGGTATCTCAAATAAAATGAGACCTGACTTTGAGAACTTTGGGATACCCATTTGGATTCTCCTCTTTACCAAATGTGACTACTTCTGAGATGGGTGCAGCTCAGGGCTTACTGCTACAGAACTAAGGAAGCTGTTCTCAACTCACGAGATGAATGTATTTTGTCCAAGACAAAATAAACATAATAATAAACGGCTCTAAATTTACCTCAACCTAAAATCTAATCCTAAAGAGACAAGATATTTTGCATCGGGCAGGTAAACATTTGACTTATGCTAAAAACACAATGTACAATACAAAATTACAAAAACAAAATACAATAAAATAAAATCACAATATCAATTAAAAATAGAGCCAACTCACACCCCCAACTTTATCTACCCCAACCAACCCAAATGCATACAAGGCCCTCAACAAGCATCGTCTATATGATATTTACCATCCTAACAAAAATAAACATTATGGAGTGAATGCTAAGTTTAGGCTTAGGTAATATTAAGGTGAATTTAATAAATATTGTCTTAAATGCAAGTTAAGGACAAGATAAGCATCTGCAAATCAATCTACAAAGTAGGCAAATAAAGTGTTAGCCAAAGTTACACCATATGTGCTTCTTTAAGAAAGGAATAGTCTGGAGAAAAATCTGATTTACACAACTTCTCCTTTACCCCAAATGTAGTTTCAGACAAGACTTGCTTCTTTAGTTGTGCGCCAGAGCTACAAGGCTAATAAGTAATGGAAGCTTATATCCCACGAAATAGCTTTGTGCCTATTGCATGTTGTGCTTAATGTTGCTGTCATAGCAAGACCTCGCATCTCAGAAGTGGTAACTTTACAGAAAAAAAAAAAAAGAACTTTAATATACAGTACTGTGCTTAAGTCTTAGACATTATATTATATGTACATTAAATTATATGTAACGCTATTTATCTGGGCAGTAAGCATTTGTTTAAAAAAAGACTAGATATTAAAACAAATGAAAAAACACCTACACTTGATAAATGCTATGTGTGAGAATCTGGGGGAAAAAAAACGTAATCAATAGTCATTAAACTACTTTCAACCCACATCTTTCAACAACAACATGATCAAAAACAGTACGGAGAGGTCAGAGGTCAGAGAGGTTTACCTGAACCGCTTTTGAAGTATACAGGCTCAGACCAGTCAGAGGGTCGCCCTCTAAAGGAATCTGATGGCAGTGCTCTGACCCGAGCCATGTATGTATTAGTGGGCCTTAGGTTGGAGGGGTTCAAGTTTAAACAGAAATCACCTTCAGTAAGATTGAAAAGCGTGAAATCCTATTGAGAGAGATTGAGAGAGAGTTAGGACACTGTCAATAGCACTAACGCACATTAATAAAAGCACACTAGTTGAGAGATGTTTGAATTTTGCTAAAAGGTCATTTCAAAACGGTTGCAAACAAAAGCAATTGCGATGATTTTCAAAAAATTCTAAAATTTCTGCATAATTCAATCACGGAGATGTAAACAAAATCTTTTAGAGCAGTTTAATGTGGAAGATGATGCGCACTGAAAAGAAACTTATTGACTGGTATTACAATAGTGGTGATCGGAACCATAGGTTGGAATGTTTACAATGCAAATATAGCCACTTCATTTGCTATCTAAAATGACAAGCTATCTAAAACACCCACAAGTACCTCTCTGCCAAGAATAGGTTGAAAAAATACACCAAAAGCTTATCTATATTGTAAAATAATATCTCAGACATCAGGCAGCATTTTCATAAGCATTTCATGTAATGGCTTTCTTTGAGGTAGCTTTTAGAGGTTTTAATCTCTTAAGACATCTGGCCTTTTAACACCACTGTGAACAATTCTGACTCTGGCAAGGATTTTTTTTGGTAATGACTGGAATTCCCCTTTAAAAAAGAGACTGACATTAGTCATCAAAGCTCCTGCCATCATCACTAAAGAGGAACTACAAATGTGCCAGTGCCCCCCCCTACAGATGTATGCTGGCTTCACGGCACTGGTGCAAGACAGAAAGTGCACACTTGGGCTCACAAGATCTTTGCAACATGTTCTGATCTGAAATTTTACATATCCATATGTTTCCTGAGCACAGAAAGTTTTCAAATCTATCAATCTGACTAAAAAAGAAAGTTTATATTACTTCATATATCCTATTAACTTCAGTCATTTGGTCACATTTGCCACTGATTGTTTTTAAAAAATCAATAGAAAATTCAAAGGACATTGTTAGGTTCTCATCCAAGGTGTCATCCAAATTTCATCATTTAATCAGAGTAAGTTCTGCGGCCTTTTTCCTTTCCTAGTTGTTGTACATGAATGAGTTAATAGCAACAATGGTATACACTGGTTCCTTACTGTATACCTTACTGTGCCTTTATTTGGTTTCATGCCTTAACTAATAACTAAAGAGAGTCTGAACAAATCAGCAGACATTAGATTTACTTCATGTGAACACTGGATATTCTACCAATCACAAATTTTACGTGTGACTAATTAGTGACTAATATAGTGTAAACTGAATATTGACTAGACATCAGTCTCTGTTCTTAGATATTTAAGGCAATTTTTGGGAACAAAAAAACATTATTTGGTGGTAAATAACATTGTGATTTGTTATTTAGATTTCTCAATTGTTACCATCGGGACACATTCAAAGCATAATTTTTTTTACAAATTAACATTATTTGAAATCTGTGAAGTTATAGGACACTGACATATTAGAATAGTTGTATACATCCATCTGCAACAAAACCGGCTTTGTATTACTGAAAAACATGATTCCAAAATTTGAACGGAACCTCTTACCCCTGTGTCGTTGTTATAGAGCTGTAGTTGATAGAAGAGTCTGAGAGCTTCACTGACGTTGGGTCTGGACCAGGTCAGCTTCCAAATGCCATCCTTCTCGCTCACCTGGACACGGTTTAGACGCGGAGGCTGAACTGTGAGCACAGAGAACCATACAATTAATTCTCATCCTGCAAGCTATACATCCATTCACACAATAATTCATCTATCCTGCACCCCAGGACTAATAGCTCATGTCATTAATGACATGATGAGTAATCTGATCCATTTGAAATCATATATTAAGAAGTGGATGGTGGGACATCCAGCTATTCAAAATGGTTTTAATAAATAAGCATATTGTTTGGTGGGTTGCACTAACATATTCAATGAAAAGCTGTTTAGATCAGGCTATTTTTCATTGCAACAGCTACAAAGCTAGAGAAACAACTGTGAAAACAGTGGAAATTGCAATTACTTAGACATAAACAAAGTCATTCATAGTGGTTTGAGGGAAGATTGCATTGTAGAGAAACATCCTGATACAATGTTTACAATACAAATATAGCCATTTTATTGACCATGTAAAACAACAACCCAGAAACCTACATGTGATTTCAGAGTTTCTAAATGTAATGTTGATATAGTAATGATTAAATAGTGATAAATCTAACAGAAATATGGGTACAAAGAGTTTTAGGCCAAATGTTTATCTCGTAAAGCAACATATCAGGCATCAGGCAGCTTTTTTGTAATCACTTCATACAATAACTTTCTGTGAGGTAGCTTTAAGAGGCATTGAGCTCTTCAGACACCTGTTTCCTATCACCACCAGTGTGAACAACTCTGACTTGCTAAGTTTCTTTACAATGGTGCATTTCACATCAAACTACACTGAGTGACTTTGCTTACATTTTTACAATTTACCAATGCAGACATCTAAAAAAACTGGTAAAATTTCCCTTTGAGAAACTTTAGGATAATGCCACACCCCACTCATTTTATCCCCTTACTGTCATGTCAGCACTCACTTGCATTCAAACCTTTCAGCTGTTTGAACCACCTCTAACAATAGTTTGGATAACAAAACAGCCAAATCGTTATTTTGGCAAAAGCTACTCTTCATACCATGAAAGAACACTGATGAACATGAAGATTAGTGCTGCTATATATATACATAAAATTATGAAGAAGTGTCTGTTTCAGGTTAACAAGACCTTCGGCGGGTATTTTCCTTATGTAAAGTAACAGTGAAAAGTAACAGTGACAATCAAACACATGCAAAGTGTCCTCAAACTTTTGATAAACACAGTAAAGTCAAACTGAATCAAACACTGTCCAGTTTCATGCCTTTTCCCTCTAGGTGAGCTGAATTAGATGTGTTAGAGTGAGGAAAACACTAAGTTGTGTCCTGCCCTGCTAGGGCTGAAATTGAATAACAGGAATGCAGCATGTATTTGTGAACACTAGGTGGCAGCACCATTGCAATCAACACAGTAAACCAGTGTTAACTCCAGGACCAAGACTGAGAGCCTCTGCTGCAGACTGTAACAGTGAATGCGATATCAATTAAAGACAGTCTTTAGTATTGGAATTTATCCCTGGCATCACAGAAGGAAATGGCATTCTTTAAGGAGGCTAAGCTTCATGATGTCATGGTTATGATGTGTATGGTTTACTGTAATTTACAAGAGCAGTCCCAATGTTGATCAAACTCACTGTTCAAGGTGTTTGCAAAATCCTTGCTGTTGTGGACACTTTTAAGCTCCATGGTCAGCATCTCAGGCTCAGAAGCGACCACCAGACATGTGAAATCCAGCACAACATGACCTGGCTGGTTGATGTGGTTATCACAATGTTGACACTCCCTGGCAAGAATAAATGAGAGAATTCACTCCAAGAATTAGTTTTGGAGTTACAAAGGCAGTAAAATAAAAACACAGATATTTTAGCACAGTAGCCCAACATCACCTAAACGCTCTGCACTGAAGGAGTACAATAAATCATCATGTCATCTGTTTTTAAAGCAATTGTCTGTCTATACGGATGTTTTTCTGATAAAATTGTGCATCTATAGCACTGATGACACCAATGATATACTCAGAAAAGCATATTGTAACATAATTTAACACTGTAACAATAACATATAATGTATACACATTGCCCACCCCTGTACCTTTGAAAATAAAGGTGCTAAAATAGGTTTTGGGAGCGAAGCCATAGAAAAAACATGTTTGGTCCACTAACAAACCTTAATGGCAAGAGATGTGTGAGTGTGAAGAACCTCTTTAAAGTTAAAATAACCTTCAAATGCTGTAAATGTTCTAGGTAGAATCCTTTAAACCTGTAAAAATTTCTTTTAAAAAAGGAAAAAGTTTCTTTTTTCTTACAGAACCAAAAGTGGTTCTTGTATGGAATCGCTCAACAAACGCTTTATAGTAACATTTTCTTAAAGAGTGTGTAGTGTCCTCTACATTACATTGTGTGTCTGTGATAGGTTGTGAATGTGATTTCTCTGTTCTAAGGGCAAGAAAGTACTCACAAATTTGATCCATTAGTGTGCGAGCACAGGTAAAATGAGAGGAACTGGGCGTGCTCTCTTTTTACCTGCCAGCTACACGACACACCCCTTTCCTCTATTACACACTGCAGGTTGAAAACACCTTCTGAAAGAGAAACAAGGCAATGGAAGAAGTAGCACAAAAACAGAGAAAGAAGGAGTGACTCAGAGAGAGAAATTAGAGTAATCCGTCAGTGTCGTCATGGTTTATCTCCTGTATGCAAACAGAGGTAAGCAATTCAAGCGTAACTGTGTATTACTGGTGGTTCCAAAATAGCATGTAACCTTCCTAAGAACTTGACTCTACACTTTACTTGTGCAATAAGGTGGTTTGCTCTATAAATGTGTTTTGTGTTTTCTGACACTGACCTGTTATCTATTAAAACATTTTTAAAGATAACAGTGACGTGGTTTCAAAAACCACATAAGATAGTCTGATTAAAAATACTTAACAACTCAACAAGGTTTGAAATAAATGGGATAATTCAGACATGCAGCTTGTACAAAGCTAATTTACGGAATATAAGCTTCCATCACTTGTTAGCTACATTAGCCTTGTAGCTCCAGTGCATAACTAAAGAAGCAAACTTCTTGACACTAAACATGTCTTGGCTGATCAAACACATTTGGAGTATGGGAAAAACTGTTGATTTTTTACAAACTATTTTTTTTAACTTTCAGCTTTCAGCTTGTTCTAGGGCAATATTACAAAATAGTGAACAACCTCATTGCACAACTATTAACTCAGAAGAGCAAAATTCTTTAGAAGGTTCCATTTTCTCCAAACCACCAGTGGAGCAACACACAGTTTGATTTTGAAATGTACTTTTTGCCTAACTAATATTAATAATTTAATTGGGAGTGTAGTTATCGTGTACCTTCTTCCTCAGTGATCCAGGACACTGGAGGACTCCAGTTGCTCCACATGCCCACTCGACCCCGCGCTCGCACTCTGGCCTCATACCCATAACCTGGCAGCTCCTGCTCCTTAATCACCCATTGATTGGTATTTATATTATCTACCACCTATCCAGGAAATGAGAAAAGGAGAGATCTCATCTGGGGCACAAACACAGACGCATTGCCTGCCATATTTCTGTCTCAGCTGTCACAGATCCCTATCAGGTTTCAGACTGCAAGCACTATTCTTTCATGTTGGGCCGTTATCTTTTGTGGGAATCTTAATGGTTTTGAGGTTGATGTATTCCTGTGTCTTCAGAAAAGCCAAATGTGCAATGTCATCAGGTGTGTAAAAACTGGTTCTTTATGTACGTATTAGGAGTTGAAGGGTCAGATTTACTAAAAGTGGTGCCAATTACCAACAATCTACTGACACTTTGCGCTGGAGGCTTAGCTCACTTGCTTTTTATATTAAAGCTTGTTTCTGTGAGATAAGAGAAAAAAAAGTTTTGATTATAATTTCGTTTCAAATTATGACTTAATAGGTCGAAATAACTACTTATTTTCTTGAAATGCTCAATGATTCAGTTCAATATGATTGTATATGTGGTGATGCTGCATTATTTTGAAAACTGTCTGACAATCATGTGTCCATGTAGACGTTTTCAATGGTGGACAAAGGTCAGCAGGAGCACTCTTACTGGTCTGCTCACTGCCTTATATATAGGGGGATGTGATACACTGAGTGTTGTGACACATTCCGCCATTAAAAAATTCTGTGACATGTGCCACAGACTCCCTTCTGTTGGTTCTGATCAGATGGTATAGCCTTCGTTGCTCTCATGCATCGATGAGCCTTGGGCGCCCAACACCCTGTCGCCGGTTCACGGTTTGTTCCTTCTTGGACTCACCTCTTTTGACTGGGAGCTCCCCAAAAGCCTTGCCATTTCAGAGATGCTCCGACCTATTCGTCTGGCCATTATAATTTTGGCCCTTGTCAAAGCTGCTATTTCTTCTACATCCAGCATGTTGACTATAAGAACCAACTGTTTGCTTACTGTCTAATGTATCCCAGACCTTGACATGTGTCGTTTTTATGAGATAATCAATGTTACTTGCTTCATCTTTGAGTGGTCACAATGTTTTAACTCATCAGTGTATATTGTGGGGATAAATACAGAATATCTGTAGATATGGTTTTTGGTAAGGATGTAGTGAGCAGCTTGACACAAACACATTCTGAATGCATAATGAGGATCTGAACATGTCTGTCAAGCAACTGAACTGCTGTGTGTGTGGATTTATACAGTAATAAGTGTACTCACAATCCAGTCATGTCCATGCCTTCTGTATTTGACCTGGTAGGTGAGTGAATTTGTGAGAGGGGATGAGGAAGGGTACGGACTGCTCCAGCTCAGCATTCGCCCACCATCAACTTTTTTCTCCATTACATTTACTGGGCTTAGGACTTTGCCTGTAGGACACACAAACACTTATCACTCAATAAAGGTGCCCAAAAGGTTTATTTGGAACAATGACAGAGAAGAACAATGTATGTTTTCTTATAGAATATTTCAGTGAACTGAGCTGTGACTGTGAAGAGCCTTTTTAAAGTTTAAAAAATTCAAAATAATGTAAAGGAAATAATGTAAAGGTTCTATACCACAAATGTTTCTATATAGTTCAGTGGTTGAGATGTAAACAAAGTCATTCAGAGTGGTTTGATGTGAAGTGGTGCATTGTAGAGGAACTTTCAGACAGTGGTAGTGATGGGACTCAGGGGTAGCAATGTCAACAATGCTGATATAGCCATTTTATTTACTATCCAAGTTGATCAGTGAACCACTATAAGTCTTGAAATTTTATTTGTTAAAATGGTAAAGTGGTAGTAAATCTGAAAAAAAAAAAATCTCCAGGGACTATTTTACCTTGGAATGTTGCACATGTACCTCTCCACTATGAATGGATTTCCAAAATGCGTCTTAGGTCAAAAGCTTATCTCTGAACTATTGGAAAATAAAGTCTCAGACATCAGCGTATTTGAACGTTTTCTGTGATGTAGCTTTTATAAAATAAAACACTTCCGACATCTGGTTCCCATCACTACCCTGAAAAGTTTCTCTAGAACAGTGCAGTGAATGACACTGTTTACATCTTAACCATCTAATTATGTAAAACTTCTAAAAACAGGTGGAATTCTACTTTAAAGGCTTATCCTTGAATCATATGTCCAAGCCAAGTACCACTTAGGAATCTTTATTCTATTTTTTAGAATAGTTTGCTCAACAGCATTGCTGAGCAGTAGTTACTAGCAATAACTAAACTTTTGAGCTTGCCATTAATTTTTTTTCAGCATCTGTGGGTGTGAATAAACACACACAGACAAACCCACATGCAAACACATAGACAATTCTCTCACCGTGCTGAGCTATGTTAAGAGTTGCTTCTTTAGATGGACAGGATGTGGTGAAGTAGACGGTCCACTTTCCCCAGTGAAATATTTTAGTTTTATAGACACAGCTACGATAGCGCTTCCCATTGGGCAACAGCATACCAAGTCCATCAGAAACACAATCATCATTTTTTTCGCTACTGACAGACAGAGAAAAAAAGTTTATATGTATAGACTTTCATTTTCATGTTCCTTTTCCATTTCCCCATCTCTGTATATGACCACCCTACAAATGCATTCATTTTTGTTCCTTACTTTTTTATCAGCAACTGCAAAGGTGTATGTGGGTCCTCTTCCCAAGTGCAGTGCATGTGGGTAGTGAAGTCATTATAGCACTGCAGGGAGTCCAGCACTGGATGTCCTGCAGAAGTCAGAAGAACAGATGTCAGCATTAAATGTGAAACACAAAGCTAGTTTATTGAATTGTCTAGTGTTATTTAGACAGTTCCACAATCTGGATGACCACTCATCCAAAAGGCTACATCAGTTTGACGGATTGGTGCCATGAATGCTGAGGGATGTTCCCACTACTCCTTTAAACTGATGAAAGTTCTAGGGTGAATATCATGCTTATATCACAAGATCCAGTCACGTTGGCTTCCTAATACTGTGCAAAAGTAAGCTGTGTTTGTTTGGTCTCACTTACCGTGGAAAGTTGTGCTCTGCAAAGAGCACTGCTCAAACTTAGAACTCAGCACCAGCAGAGGGAGTGCAGTGAATAACAGTGTCCTCATAGGCATCATCTTGGCAGAGGTGGGATACCAGAGAGGGACAGCTCTGTGGAGTAGGTTCTCCTGAGATTTCAAAAGGTTAACACTAGCATGTGAACCTGCAACACAAAGAGAATGTCTATGTAGACATGTGTTTGGAAGCGGTGTACACCAGGAGTGTCCTGTAGGTCCAGTATGGTTTGGTGATTCCCATTTTCCCAGGCCTTCAAGTCACTCTTTAAACTGTACACACACATGAGCTACATGCTACATTCTTGATTTTTAGAGTGTATATAGAATTTATTACAGTATATTACTTGGGGGCAGATTTTATAAAGTAGTGTTTCTCAGTAAGCTAAGCCAACAGCAGCAGCAAATAACAACAAAACAACAACTATACCAAAAATACAATCAAAATTGCTCCCGTTACTATTACATACAGTGCCAGGACTAAATATCAAGTGAAATTCAAACCTCAGCATCATCATCCGTCTACAGCAGGCCAGCACAGCTTTATCTCACAAGTCATCTGTCTTCTTCACCACAGCCAAACCATCAAGCCAGCTGACGTCATCGCCCTCGCGCCTCAGTGCCTGGAAAGGGAGGAGAAAGGGATTTCCCTCTAAGAGAGAGATGCAGGGGAGGGAGGACGGAAAAAAGCGGTGTAAAGTGCGCGAGTGAGACGGAGAGAGGAAGAACAAAGAGAAAGAGTAAGAGGTCACAGGACTCGGCGATGTTTTTACACCGTGAAAAGTGACTTTCTGTGTGTAGAATATGATGAAATGGCGGGAATAGTTGAATGTAGCACACCTCCGTTGCTTTGCTTTGTGATGAGGCATATTTTTAGCCTCATGCTAGGTGGGAGATGAATAGGTGTGAAGCGAAAAACGGCGATGGGGAAATACCTCTGAGCTGTGGTAAGCTACATTAGCTCTTTTCAGGTCCGGGGCTAATTCTCATGCTTAGAGGAACTCGTATCACAATGTACAAGTGAGAGATAATGTTGACAACACCGATTTACTCCTGTAGGAACGCTGAGCGGTGTGCTACAGGTTAGAGGGGGAACTCCACTCATTTTTCAAAATCTACGTCATTAAGTTGCTAAGATGTAAACAAAGTCACTCAGAGTGGTTTAGTTTGAAATGCTAAACCAGACGTCCACCTCTCAAAAGCTCCCTCACAGGAAGTTATTACATGAAATGGTTATATGTAATGTATATGTACATGTATATGTGAAAGTATATGCTGCCTGATGTCTGACACATTGTTTAATGATTTATAATGAACATTATTGTTTTGAGATAGTTTTGGCTTAAAAAGGTGTTTGAATCCATTTGTAGTCATGGCGGAAGGATACTTGCAGGGTGTTGTAAGTCAAAATAGGACCCTAAGTAAGTAAGTAAGTAAATAAATAAAAACTATTATTTTACCATCATAAACATTACATATAAAACTCAGAAGACACGTATAGGTTCACTAGTTGTTTGTCGCTAATAAATAAAATGGATATATTTGTGTTGTAGACACAGCGACCCCTGGTTCCTGTCTTCACCACTGTAAAGAAATTAGAAGTTTCTATGCAAGGAACTATTTCACATTAAACCACTCTGAATGACTTTATTTACATCACATCGACAGAATTATGCAAAAATTCTGGAAAATCGGTGGAATTTCCTTTTAAGGGTCAGTTTCCCAGATTTCTAGATTAGTCCAGATTATTGCCATTCTTCATTGGGATTTTTCAAGAGTTTTTTCAAGAAACACGATTTGCATTGCAGTTTACTCGACGAATAGGCTCAAAGCGTGTGCAAGAAAATTAACCTAAAATGCACTGGCTTTAGAACAATGTATTGACTTTGGCGTTGACGTGATAGTAATTGCCCCTTGCCATTCTTAGAGATTAAGTTCTATGGGCGACCTCAAAAAGGTTTTAAGCTCTAATTTGGTTCTTAATACAAATCGAATCCATAAGCATAAGGGCTCGGTTTCCTGGATATGGATTAAATTTAGTCATGGACAAAAATGCAGTGCCGAATCTAATCTATATAAAAATGTAGTCTAGGTTTAGGCTCAGTCTGGGTCTATGAACCTAGCCCCATATGTTGTGCTGTAAAGAGTTTTTAGGAGCTCTTGATGATATTACAAAACATTTGGCGATTCTTCAAGAATTAAACAATTAAATACATACATCATCTAAACCGCTTATCCTTCTGGGTCGCGGTGAACAATTAAATACTTAAACTATATTATTCATTGTACATAAACATCTGCAATGTGTTTAAAAGCACCCTAAAAATCGCACTTTGAGTTAGACTGAAAGTTTCACAGTTTGCAAAAACAGTCAAAGAACGTTCTGCTGCTGTTTTTGTACAGATGGATGAGGGGAAAGTAGGGTTGTTTGAGTCAGAAGGGAAGATGTGAAAATGTCTGTTTGCGGAAAGTTGAAAGTAGGCTACATAAAATATGACCTCAAATCCAAAACATAATAAAAGTAAATAAATATATTAAAAAAACAAGTCCAAAATAAGTACACAAACAGAGTAAAGCTGAATGTAACCCATTTAATATTGGCTATTGTAATTCACCAACATTTACTCTGTAATATTATTAATACATTTTGAAACATATTTAGTTTTTCAATAGAATACTGTTTTTATTTGTGTATGCATTCACATTCACAACTGCTGATATGTCAGAGCGACCAAATAAAACTCACTGGCGCTTGATAAACGCCCTCAAAACAGTGATGAAAAAAAGTGATGTTTTCGTATTAAAATCAAGTTACGTGCTGAAAAAAATGTTGCTATACACATGAATGATATATATAACATCATAGTAACACAAATACCTTTTACTTACCTTTGACAAGAATTGTGTTATGTAATACATTATTAGGTCAAAGCACTTATTTAGTACATTTTTTATAGTCTTTTAAACCAAATATCTGAATTCAGTATCTCTCAGTTTACTTTGGAAGTATTTTTAAATGAGAAACAGCCCTTACCTTTCTTTTTATTTTACTTTAAGCCACCTTTGGGACTCCATCAGTCCATTTTCCCCCAGCATTCACATAATCTCTTCATTTATCTGTCTCTGAACTGTGGCAATTGTAGGCACTTCCTCTTTTGCGTGCATTTATGTGCGTGTGTGTTGGGAGGGAGGTCTTGGTGTGTTCATTACTGAAGTGCAATATAGCATGTCTTTGCATGTGATCTCTTCTTTGAAAGAACTTAAAAACCAAAAACCAAGAGTTCCTCTTTCTTTGTGGTGTGTCAACACTTCTGCCGCCTGGTCAGCAAATGCTGCCTGTTGTGCAGCCACCCACAGGGTTACAGCAGAGTGATAGCAGATAAGATAAGGATCTACATTTGGGATCTTTACATGCTGTTGATCAACATCGTCATTAAAAGATCTCAGTTCCAAGTGTTACCTATATCATCAACCAGCTCACATTAACTGTATAATCTGCTGTTGTTTACTTGTTTATCTCTGTTAAGTATGTAAAAATACTGCGTAAAAATGTTGTGTACTGCATGCAGAGACTTCTTAGCAGAAAAGGGTCACGTATTATCAGCATGCTCTGGTTCCGAAACCAAAGAGTGATTGCTGGTTTCAGAAGCTGTGAATGTTGCAGATACGATCATGAGTGGGCCTAATCATTGTTAAATATCTACCACCTGTTTCATTTCTAACAGTGATAGTGTGATATGTGATACTTTCAGTGCTACACTGGTCAGACAGAAGTTCCCTGGCAGTGAAAGAGGAGGTTACAATATCGAGTTTTAGTGTGTCAGTGTCATGGCTTAATACAGCGATTAGCAGCCACAGTCTCTATATAGATGTCACCTCATTCAAGCTATAAGGGTGCACATTTCTTGACCAAGCACACATAAAAGAAAGCTAAAACACTCATACACTTAAGAAAGTCTTTTAATGAAGTACTCTCTACAAAACAAGAAATTACCACTGGTATTCAAAATAATGTATTAATGAACATCTGTGCATCCGTACCAGCAGCACTGAAGATTATGTACAATTATGAATAGAATCTTATTGTTTTTTGTACTTTTTTGCTGAACATCATGATAAAATTATATTTTTTCTGATATAATTTCTCAGAGGAAACATTATCTTGATTATTTGCATGTCAAAAATATCAGTTCTAAGTACAGGACTTTAATGTGAGGTAAAAAAAAGCTTGGACCTTGCTTTTTCAGCTCACCCTGACAAATTTGTTGTTGCATTGGGATTGCATTTGCAAAGCTTTGTTCTTTAGATCTGTAATGCATTAGTAAATAGTAATGCATTAAAAAGTTGTAGGTCTGGAAGAATCAACTAAGCACAGTTTGTGCATCATGTTAGACAATGGGCCTGAAAAATGGCTAGGAATGTTTTAAAGTTATTAACATGACGACTTTGGAAGCAAAGCAACATTGCATCACATGTCTACCCCCACAGTATTAATGCGTCCACCACCATACTTCACATTGGAAAGCTTTTGGAGCTTTTCCACTGCATTTTATAGCTCAACACAATTCGACTGCTTGACTCTACTCACTTTGGTACCAGCTACTTTGATTTCCACTGCAGATGTAGTACCCCTTCAGTGTAGCTGGTCATCACAGTGACGCCACATGAAACTGCCATGATGTTAAGGAAACATTTTGTCTTTGTTTAGAAAACACAGCAAAAGGCGTAGAGAGAATTTGGAAAATACTACACCAAGTTTCAGACGACGAGATGAATCTGGTTGCTCAAAGGTGCACAAGAGGGTACATCAAGCTGGTAGCTAACGTTAGCATATGTGTTTAGGGTGATAGTGACAGTTCTCTTTAACTAATCATTAGTCTGCAGTTTTTCCATGAACTCTTTTTGTAACGACTCATCTTGCTTGGAACATCGACAGGTAATACCAAAAATGCCAGGTACCAGGTTTGCCTAATGGAAAACTAAAAAAGCCATTCCCATATTGTATGCACAATAGGGGTGCAACGATTATTCGACTTAGTCGACTACAATTGACGACCAAATTAGTTGGCAACTAATTTAGTAGGCGATTGGTTGGTGACGTCATTCCGTGTTTTCTCGCGATCACTAGGAGAGTTTTGACATTCCCGCTCACTGGAGAGTTAACAGCGCGACGGCTGCCTCAAGAACAAAAGCCTCAAAAGTGTGGAGCTAAACTTAGAGAAAAAAAATCAGTTATGCTTTTTGTAAGCCGGCCTTAGCTGGCACGGGAGCACATCCTCCGGACTGTAGCATCTGAAGAGGAAACTTGTCGGCTCACTGGATGAAGAAGATATCGCGGTAAGATATGCCGCGTCCCAAACCGCATACTAGCACACTAAATAGTGTGTAAAAATAGCGCATATACCACTAGAAGTGCACTTATTAGTGTAGTGTGTGAAGTATAGAAGTGTGTGGTTTGGGAATCGACGATAGTTGTGCTAGCGAGCTAGTTAGCTAGCTAATGTTTTTGCTAAAAGCCGTCCTCTCACAGGAGCACGGAGAGACGCTGGCTTTCCTCCGTTTCAATAAAGACCTGTGATTAGAAAGAATGTAGTTGCATGTAGTTGTTTATATTTGACATTTAATTTAAAAAAAAATGTATTTGATTAAAGAAAAACTGATTTAGTTTTGTTATATTTTATTGCTGCTACTTTGCACATCCTTCGTTATAAATTTTTTAGAGTTTTAGCAGGAAATTTCATTAAAACAGTGAATTCTTGAATGTTATTCATCTTTATTGTCTTCACTGTTAGTTAGCAAATATATAAAACAACCTCAAGCTAAATTTAAAAGCTAAAAACTACATAAAAGTTATTTGTAATGATTCATAATCCGAATAATCGATTTTTTTGTTTCAGTAATCGATAGATTATTCAACTATCAAATTAGACGATTGTTGCAGCCCTAATGCACAAGCATTCCTATATTTGCCTGCTATGTTTCTTAATTGTTGGCCAAAAAGCTTTATTTTGGTCTCATCTGACTATGGATGTTCAAAATCAGAGCTTGTTTTCCCTTCTTCAAGCAGCACATCATAGCTATGCTGTCCACATAATCTGCATGTTTTAACATTTGACTCTTGATGGACGTTCATGTCGCCCTTGCAGCATGAGTAATAAAGTATATTTTTGGTAGGTGGGGTCAGGCATCATTGACCCAATTGCTTAAATTCAAAATACTGCATAATTGAACCAATCATAAGGAAGCTGAGATCGATTAAGAGTTGACTGTATTGCTTTGATTGTGACATATGCTAAGCATCTTTATTATCATGCGACACTTTCGATAGTATTACACATTTATATTGAATGTATGTGAAGGAGAGGTCTGGATTGTATACAATGACACGCAAGTGAAAGCTAATAAATTACATCCCCACAAAATTCATGACAAATCAGCGAGCCAGTTGAACCAAATGAAAATTTTTAGTGTCACACAACCCTAAACTATGATGTGGACTTCAGCAAACGAACTAGGTGTGAAAACAGCCAAAATCAAGGTTTCATGAGGCTAGAGGCTTTTACCTGGGAGTCTTTGAAAGTTGACATAGACCGCTTAGCTTTGGAGACCTGATCACCTTAATCTACCATTCTCCATCTGTGAAATCTCATCCTTTTGAAATTATATTGTCTTTTAACCCAACATCCTCAGTGATTGTGTCTTTTTCCAGACAACTTCATCTTATCTTCAGGTGTTTCAACTGCTCAGTTATCACCTCAGTAGAGGACATCTTCACACATATTCTGAAGATATGATGAAATTGAGTTGCCTGAATCCACCTCGTTTTCTGAATAAAATGACTCATATCAACAAATAATTACATTCACATTAGCTGTTTACTATGATAAATGGTGACAGATTAAAATGTGAATCTAGAAATGACAGTGGAATTAATTTTAATATATTTATTTTTTGGGCCTTCTGGGCCTTTTAGATGGCTTCTTTGATTTCTTCTGCACTGAAGCAACAGAAAGCCCCCAATAGAGTCGAAATGCAATGAAAGGCGTTTCCGTAAAGCAAGAACGCCCACATCAGGAACGCCCACTCACCATTCATTGGCCGATATGTCTGCAAAATAGCTTCTCTCATTGGTGGATAAGACTCAATAGGGAAAATACATCAGTATTTGTAAAGACGTTACTAATACTAAATTAAAATTATTTCTACATATTTGCATAATAAGCATTTAGCATTTAAAAATAAATATGCGTAAATCTATAGCTACTGGTGAGTGTATAGTTCTGTCTCGTGGTTTTGTGATCCCGACTTGAACTTGCGGTCTGAATGCCTATCATAACCGTAGCAATCAGCAGTGTTTTCAGCAGTACTACACAATCTGCTCCATACCAGCCATTATTTAATTATTTAAATTAATATGTAATTGTAACGTCCCTAATGAGAAAAAAACATAGAAACCACTAAGAGTTTCTCTTGGTTCTTGGGGGTTCATAATGCGTTTTGGCTTTTCTTGATTGGCTGATCATGTAAAGGAATGATTTAGCAGGTGACCTAGTGACTGATTCCAGATACATTTTTAATTCTACTTGGAAACTAGTGGTCTCTAACGGTAACCATTATGAGGCAAAAAGCATTAGATATTAATCCTAATGGTCTTTATTTAGCAGGGGTTACTGTGGTGCAGCCAGCTTCCACAATATAACTCTGGCAATGTTGTGTATTGTTGACTATCAAGCAACCTTGTTCTTATTTTCCACAAGGTTTAAGGTCGTACTAAAATGTTAATGTAACAGTAAACTTATGACATCATAATCTGTAATGAAGGCGCTCGTTGATCTCGACCTTATTAATTTTTCCCATTTTTTTCGCAGTGTTCTGTACGATAGCATTTTAGCGCCACTGTTAATAAAAATAAAAATAGTAGACTTAGAGAATAAAGTCGCAATATTTCGAGAAAAAAGTTGTATTTTTTAGAATAAATCGTAATATTAATATTTCGATGATAATATCGTAGAATTACGACATTAAAGTGGGATATTACCAGAAAAGGTCGCAATATTGTGGCCAAAGGCTTTGCAAAGGGAAGGCAGCACCTCCTCGCGTTAAAATGAGGGGCGGTGAGTTGGTGGAGTTTTACTTTGGAGTTTGAAATTGATACTTTCATATCAGTTTCACCCGTAATGAAATACTCAGTCAAAGAGGGCATGATGTTTTACA